TGGGGCTCGGGGCTGAAGCCCAAGCCCCACCGTCCAGGGCCAAAACCAAAGCCCGAGGGCGGCTGGGCTCAGGTTACAGGCCCCCTGGCTGGGGCGGAACAAGCCCTTGGGCTTCAGCTTTGATCCCTTCCTCACCCAGGGCAGTGGGGCTCGGGCTTTGGCTCCCCAACCTGGGGCAGTGGGAATCAGATAGACTCAAGCTTCGATCCCCTCTCCTGGGGTTGTGTAGTAATTTTTGTTGTCAGAAGGGGGCAATGAAGTTTGAGAACCCCTGAGCTGAATTGAACTTAGTAGTAGTACCAACAATAAAATTGCTAGCACACCCACACACTCACTTCAGAGGCCTAGAAGGGGGAACATCAAAAATGTAGCAATTTCTGCCTCCATACACCTGCCCATATAGATGGTGAACAACCTTTGCTGTAGTTCTACTCATTTTCCACCATACTCAGCCCAGCCACAGCAGAATGATAACGCACATTCTTCTAACAGTACCTTCACTAAGAGAGAGTGCGCAGGGGGACAGTGACCATTTCAACAAATGGCGCTTCTCAAATCTAGCAGCTTCTTCCAGAGCATCTGCTAGCTTAGCACAGCCCAAGATGGCCTTTAGTGCAGCCAGGTACACCAGACCCTTGCTCTTCTAAATCAACAAAAGGCGCATATCTTTGGTAATCAGCTATGTATACTAGGAAGGGGTGGCAGCAGGCAATTAAATATCAAGATTTTCCAGTCATCTTATATGGCATAGGGAATGGGGGAAGAAAGAACAAAAAAGGAGGAATTAGAGCAGCAAACATTTGGCAGCTAACTACAGTCTATAATGCTATCACCCATTTCTGCTATTTAGTGACAATATGTGGTAAGAGTACAGGTATCCAGATTCCACACACATATTATGGCCCTTCATACATCACTTTCTCATGAATTTCTCCAATTCTCACAAACAGTAATGGCTATCCTTCCTTCTTGTTCCCCTGAAAGATATATTTGTGTTCATCTATTAGCTGTAACACCGCATTACTTATTCTTTTGGTTTGCTTTTCAAGGGACTGATTTAATCTTTTTGTCAAAATATTTCCAATCTTCCAGTGAAGGGTTCATTGACACTTCAGGGCACAGAGCACCATTCAAGAGCTAGAATTAATAAGAATGTGAGAATTCTTCATTTTATTTTTATAGGATACCATTTTGTCAAAGCCTCCTTTGTTGGAGGGATCTTGTTGAAGTGTTTTATACCATATTGTTATAACATGCTAAAGACATTTCTGTGTCATAAACAACCCAGTCCTGATTATACATCAGGCCCAACTGCAAGACAATTAAATCCAAAATGCTTTGAAGTTCTGGCAGAGAAGAAAAAAGGACTTCAGTATTCTGTTCTATAAGGAAATCAATAATTGCCTCAACTGTGGAAGTTAATTTGTAATATATGGATTTTTTTACTCATGTTCAGTAATATACTCTCTTGCGTGTTACGTACAATGTTGTATTTATCCAGATCTCAACAATAATTTTTAAAATTACATATAAAAATGGGTTTCTTTGATCTGTTTATGCTCATGAAAGTTTCAACAAGAAAGCCAAAAGAAAACAGATGAGTAAAGTCTTTTCAACTTCAAGAGACATGTTAGAAAGTATTTCTGCCTGTGCTGGAGGGCACAATCTGTAATAACTTTTTGCCTTCCCGATAATAATGACAGGCCCCATTATTAACAGGACAACTTGCTCTGCAGCAAGCATGCTTGGCTGGTAGAAAACACACACACACACGCGCGCTAGAGTACTTTTACTCACAGAAATCTAAGTAAATTTCTATACTCTACTCCAAATTGAGTAAATTTATGACCTTCCTGAGACAGAAAACTACTAATGTATACTGTTTTGATGTTAATTGGAAGCGTTCAAAATCTCAAACAATATACGTATCATTGGGTTTGGATTACCAGCAAGTGCAACAATCAATCAATCTTAGTCACACAAAAAAACAAAAAATATGCAGCATGACTCAAATGAAAAACAAGGTAGTTATATAAAGCATCATACTTCAAAGCTAAAAATTCTAAGAATGCCCTTTCCTCAACCAAAGCCTAGAAAACAGCTGTAGGTCAATGCTCACTATAAAAAAAAAAAAAAAAAATCAAAGACCAATTTACAATGGATGTAAGATCACATTATGTGTAATTAAAAAGTAGGCATGTTGAACTGTGTTCAGCCCTCATTAAATTTTAATAAAATCATAATCACTGTTTCCTGACCAAACAATGGTACAAATCAGGGGCCAAATCCTGCAACCCCTTACTCATGCAAGCAAGCCTTATACATGCAAGTGAGGCCTATAGGACTACCCACATGGATAAGGATTATTCATGAAAGTAAGATGCTGCAGGATCTGACTGCAGTAGAATTAATGCCTTACAAACACCAGTGTCCACATAGCAAAATGGCACTTTTAGAACCTCTTTCACATATTTTTTTTCTTATGTCAGGAAATAAAATGTAAAAGCTTTAGGCATGCTGAGGTGGGATGGCTAGCACTTCATGTGTTAACACAGTACTGGTACTCTTTGAAATGCTGATCAACTTCACCACTGGGGCAAAGATGCTTATAAATATTAACTGTATTATATTTGCATGTGTCACCCAGAGGCACAATTTTTCCTGTTAAAAATGGAAACAGAACCCTTATAATTTTCCTCATGTGTCACTTTTTGATCATAAGGCATACAATGACCATGAAAAGTATTCAAGAAGGAATAGAGTATACGGCAGAGAGCCAAATACATAATAGCATACTGTTAATTATGGTTACCAGTTTGGTTCAAGCAGTTGCCCAAAATGCCAGAATAGACATTTCAAAAATCTAAAAGGTCATAATCACACTCAAAAGCATTTAAATAAGTATTTTTTTCTAGAAAACTGAGAAAGATTTTCTAATTATATGGATTTCACAGTAGGACTGTAAAATTGAACTAAAAATCTAATGTTTATAGGGAGAGACCTATCATACCACAAAAGGTAGATTTGCAGGAGTTCTCCCTATCACAGCTTTTGTCATGGAATAGATGCAACTGCAGTGAAAAAGAACAAACTTTGTGTTTAGGTACTGCAAATGGACTTTTATATGGCATTATGAAAAAAAAAAAGTTGAAAAATATTTATATATTATTATTTGCACTTTTCGACCCGTAAAGGTGTTCATAATATGTACTGTTGAAAAATGTTAAATAAACTATCCTGAGTCGCCATATTTTTGAATAAAATCAAAGTATATTCTATAGCTAGAAACATACACAATACTTATTCTAAGATTTTTAGAATACCAACAACTTTTAAAAAAAAACACATTTGTGAAACTATTTTACCTTTTATTGTTACATGTAACTCCTAAGAGGATGCATGACTGTGAGAAATAAGGGGAATAATCATATTTTGACACTTCTTTGTGTATATTCAGTAGACCAGATTCTCAATTTGCATAAATTGTTGTAGCTCAGTTGAACTCAATGGAGCTATGACAGTTTATACCAGCTAAAGATCCCGCCAAGCATTTCTCCTCTAAGTCATCTGGGACCCAATCCTGCAAATGTACTTTACCCAGGCACAGGATCCTTCTGCACAGTGCTTATTGCAGGATTAGGATCTTGGTCAGTTTCCTCTGGGTGGGTCTTTCACACAGCAAAAAGAGAGGGGGGGAAATTAACATGAAAATGTTACTGTAAAACCACAAAAAAAATGGTAGAGGAAGAACAATGGGGCAAGCCTACCTGAAACTACTTTTAACTCCTTGCATCAAACTGACCAGATTTCAAGTTGGTGTCTCTTTAAAGAGGAGTGTATTCTCACACACATAACCAAAACCAAACATTTTCTTCTTTCAGTTGCTGACCTATCCACATTAATTTTACCATGACTGCAATGTGAAAGATATATTTTACTCAATAAAACATTATTTCCTGAGAAACTTTCTAGTTCCCTTTATTTTGCAAGAAACAACTAAACTGCTGGTCACACATGGGTGAAATTCAGGCATTTAGAATGTATGCAGTTAACCTAAAAATTGCTAACAGTGAAAGAGCTTCACAATACTTTCTGATCAAGAGCCAATCAACGAGAACACTGGAGGCTGTAACTCTCGGATTTTGCACACTTCTAGCCACTGTTCCCAAGGAGAGCTGTGTGTGATACAGAACCCGGTATAAGCATAGAACTGTTGATGAAAGGCAGATTCATTAAATTCAGGACTGAAAACATGGATTTGGGCATAATCTGGGGAGTGCTACCATAATGAGAGTGAGGTTCTCTTCCCCCGGTTTCTGAATGAAGCGGCTCCCCTTCACCCCCATACTATTCCCTCACACTAAAACATGCCCCAGATGCCATCCGCCCCAGAGGAGCTCCCGTGAAGGCAGAGGCCAAAGCACCTGCCTGGATGTTGTGGTTGGCAAAGAAGCTGCTAAGCAGGCGGCGACCCACACTCCAGCCTGACCACCACGCCGGCAGCTTTCGCTCCTTCCCATCGCCCCGCTGGCGCGGCTCCCCGTGCCCACAGCCCCCCACCACGGCACCTGGCTTCCACCCAGCCAAAAACTAACCATCCTCCGCACCCGAAACGGGGGGGCGGAGCCCCACGTTTTATAGAGGCTGGTTCCACCTGCGTGTTTCTGCCCGGCTAGGATTTTAAGCGGATTCGTGACTGTGCAAGTGAGAACAGAGATCTCGGGAGGATCTTTGCTTGACAGCTGCTAAAGCAAAAAAAAAACAGTAACACCCTGAAGTAAACCCCGCAGTCCCCTTTCAACCCGCATTCAGGCAGCACGTGGGACCTGAAGGAGACTCTTGCACTTGCTAAAGTCCACCCCGGGGGAGGGAGGGGCTATCACCCACAAGGGCAGCTTTACAGCCCCGCCGCTGTGTGGTGTGCAGGGTGCGTGCACTGGGGCGGGCCCCCCGCCCCGGACTTTCCCCAGGAGTTGGATGCTACAGGCTCCGCCACTTACCCAAACTGCCGGCGAAACCGTCCATTTTGTGTCGGGAGAAGCTGGGGTCCGGGACCCCGGCGAAGCCGCTCGCGCTCGTGGAGACGGTGGGGGAGGCAGGTTCATTCACCCGCAGAGCCGCGGCGGCTGCTGCTCCGCGCCGGGCTCATGAGCCGCACGCGCTGGCTCCCGGGGATCCCCCAGGCTCCGCGGCTGCTCCAGCGCCCACTGCTGCTGCTCTCACTCGCCGCCGCCGCCGCCGCTGCTGCTGCCCGGGCTCAGTCACAGCTCCGCGACCCAGCACCGCCGCTGCAGCTCCAGCTCCTCCTGCTGCTGTCAGTCCCGCCCAATAGCGCCCAGTGCTTTCGTGCTTCCGACTCCGCCTCAGTTGGCAGCCAGGGCTTCCCCTGAAGGCTGAGGAGCCCGGCGGGAGGGGAGCAGGCCGACCTCCCTCCCTCCCGAGCCTGGGCGAGGGGCTGCTGTGCCCTGCAGGGCGTGAGCCTCAGCTGCCCTCGCCGCGACTGACTGGTGCAGGCCTCCCTCAGGGACCTGCCTGGCTCTGTCTAAGCAGCACTGGTACAGCTCATTGCCCCTAGGCACAGGTGCACCTCGCCGTGTTTGTGCTAGAGCATTACAGTGGCTCTAGGCACTCACTTCCTTGTCTTTGGAGCCCTGCTGACTCGGGAGCACCTGTTTTTTGATTTGCACGGTGCCCTACCCAGGTGAGGTGCTCTTTACAGAAACCTGGTGCTGAAGAGCTTATAACAAACAACGTTCTGACAAGGACCAGACAAAGGGGGAGGGGGGAGAAGGATGCCTCAGGAGACATCACCCCTTTTTATTCACTTTATTGCCTGAATCATTATTGATTATTGCTGCAGATATATGAGTTGCTGTGTTTCAACATAAGGTAGACATCTCATTGTGTCTGGTACTGGTGTCTTCATGTACCTCATCTCTATTCACAGCAGGCACTTCAATGAGTCTATGCAGAATGCTGATTCCCGGCACTTAAGCACATCATCTTGAGGCACTTATGCATCTCCTTGTATCTTTGCACCCATGAACATATCCACTTATGGTAAAAACAACGAGGAGTCCTTGTGACACCCAAGACTAACAAATCTCATTTTGTGCCTTGGCCTTTCTAATTTTGTCCCTATATGCTTGTGTTGTTTTTTGTGTTGGCATGTATAGTCAATGCCAGCCAGGTCATCTGTGGTGATGTGATGGAGTCTCCTAGCCAACCAAAGATGGTAGAAAGAGTTAATTATGGATGTTGCTATATGAGAGGTTAGTGTCAGTGAGGAATCAAAAAGTACTCCTAAAAGAGCAGGTTGAAATGACTAATGGTCAACGTGTACCCAAAGGAGACTGTAAAGGTGGCTGCAAACTGTTCAAAGTGCTTTCTTCTGCACACCAGCATCACCACTGTCTTTCCCAAGTTCATCTTCAGCCAGCTACTCTTCATCTGTGAACTGATTTTGTGCAAGCACTGGGCCATCGATCTTGGTGGTAGTAGTATGGTCATATGTGATTTAAAGATAAATAAAGCTGTAGCTGTGTGTCATCTGCATATTGCTGGCACTTAAGACCATGTCACCTTGCCACTTCACCTAGTGCTGCACATAGGTGTTGAATAGGACTGGAGAGAAAATTGATCCTTGTGGGACTCCACAAGCGTGGAATCTAGTGGCCAAGGTGCTCTTTTTCTCTTTTTAGGTTCATCCCTCCAGGAAGAATTTAAACTATTGAGTGCATTCCCCTTGGCATCTGCCACCTCTCTTAGGTGAGAGAGCAGTATCTTATAGTCAACAATATCAAATTCTACACAGAGGTCCAAGAGGATGAAAATGGATGTCTGCCCACCATGCACTGACAGCCAGAGATAATCCATCAGTGCCACAAAAGCTGTTTCCATCCCATTCCTCATCTGAATCCAGATTGTACTGGGTTTAGAATATCGGCTTCAGTTAGATGAGTCCTTTGGCTACTTCTCTGTTAGCTTATTCAGGAATGAAAGGCTTGATACTGGGCAGCAATTAGCCCTAGTACAGCAGCACATGCAGCAGGTACAGAAAGCCTGTGGGGGTGAGGGAGTTGAATATGAGATCCAGCCAGCAGGAACAGCTACACAAGTAGATTCAAACATTCCTGCCCACTGGTGATATCATCGGGCTTTCAAAATCAAATTTGATATTGTAGACTCAAGCTGTTTATCCATCTCAAATGTAAGTCCTCCAACTCATGCCAGATTCAGACATACCCCAGAATTTGTCTTCAAGGAATTTAGCTTCATAACTGGTTGTACCAGACTTTGTTACCACCAGCAAAATACTGTTGCATAATTTCCCCTTGCTTGTCATTAAAAGACAAAGCATGGCTACATAAAATGGACTTCTTCATCATCCAGACAATGCAAAATCTATAATGAAAGAAGCTTTACAATAGAACCTCAGTGTTATGGACACCTCGGGAATGGAGGTTGTTTGTAACTCTGAAATGTTCCGTAACTCTGAACAAGACTTCAGCCAAGGGGTGTTGGGGCTGCAGCTGCAGGGTGGGAGGGTGTCAGGGGTGGGGGGGAGGGGCTTCTGACCCTTGGGACACCAGGGCTCCGGGCGGGGCAGGGGGGGCCTCAAGGCTTCTGCCCCGCAGGAGCACCGGGGCGCAGGGCTTTAGACCTGGGGGGAGTGGGCTGCAGGCTCAGGGCTTCAGCCCAGCAGCTCCGTTCCTGGTTTCAGCCTCAAGGAGAACACCAGAGCTCAGGGCTCCCCACAGCTCTGCTTCAGCTGGGGGGGGGAACATCGGGGTTCAGGGCTTTAGCTACAGGGGGAGTGTTGGGGTTGAAACCGTCACTCCCCTTTTAGCTAGAGCTCCGGCACCCCCCCCCCTTGCCCCCTGCAGGGCTCAAGCCGGGAACAGAGCCACAGGGCTGAAGCACTGGCGCCGTCCCTCTTCCCGCAGGACTGAAGCTGGGAACGGAGCCGTGGGGCTGAACCCCCGAGCCCCAGTGCTCCCCAGGTCTAAAGCCCTGAGCCCCGGTGGTCCCGACGAGGGTCAGAAGCCCTGAGTACCCTGCCCGGAGCCCTGACCCCCCCACACACCCTGCGGCTGCAGCTCCAACCTACCCCATTGGCTGAAGCCCTGAGGCAGTACAGTATTTGCTGGGTGTTTTTGTTTGTTTGTTTTGTCTCCCCTGCTGCCTGATTGATTACTTCTGGTTACACAGGGTGTCCAGTAAGTACATAACCCTAGTGTTTGTATCTTTGAGGTTCTATTGTAAATGATACTTGATCACCCACTCAATTAGCCTTAGTCTTCTTGGTCTCCACTCTTTACTATCTTACATTGCTAACATTGTTACTCATGGGTCCCATCACCGAAGTACCTGAGCCCTTCACAAATATTAATGAATCTATCCTCACAAACATTCCTGTGGGAGGTAGAGAAATATTATTGTCCCCATTTTACTGACGGGAAACTAAAGTACGGACATACTAAGCTGTACACCCAGGGTCACAGAGGAAGTCTGTTGTAGAACCATGAGCTAGATCTCCTTAGTTTTAGGCCACTTTCTTAAAACACAAGGTGACCATACTATTGAGACACCGGGAAAACCCACATCCTCCATTTTCTTTTCTTTTCTTTTTTTACTATGGAAAAATAGTAATAAGAACTATTTTAGAAAGTAATCAAACAATAAAACTATGCCAAAAATAAAATTAAGGAATTGAACTAAATTCACAAAAGCAAGAAAATCCAGACTTAAGACAGCAAATTCATCCTCAGTTTGGCCTGTTGTACATTTAAGAATTTCAGAAGAGCAAATATTATATGTCTTGCAGTGCTAGACAGAATATGATGAGTTCCAGCCTTTATATCATTGCTTTTGTTCAGTGCATTTGAGTCAAATCCTAAATCTGATTTGAATTTAGTGTTTTTTGTGGCGTAGACAGCCAACATCATTGTGGTACAGATATACAACACACAGACCCAGATTTTTAGGAAGAAAAATATATATTTCTTCAACTTTTTTACTTGACTTTTAAGTAGTGAATAAGTTATGATTAAAGAATAAAGGAACTTTTGTTTTAGTAGTAAATTTCAAACACACACAGACAGTGTATGTAAGAACTCCATAACCTTCTGGGCGATAAAGAGCCCTACTGTTTCAGGTTCAGACTATAAGGAGCACTTGAATTCCTCCAACCTTTGGAGTATATTACATATAACAGAAAAATTCAGTTGTTTATGGACATTGTTTTGAATTGTTTGACTTGTTCAGTTTCTTAGTTGACAATCTTTGTTACAACTAGTGCGCTTTAGCTTTCCAAAGATTTAACCGATGCATTGAATGTTGTTTTATTCTGGATGTTGGTAAATTTTGAATACGTAAATATCAGTTTCCAAATCAGGTGGTGGATGCCCATGGTTTTACTGTAAAGATAGATTGTTAACAGAACATGTAAAACTATGCTGCCCTATGATGCCCTCTGATTCAAGGGTCTAATGCTAATTGTTGGTGTAGGTTACACTCCAGCTACTGGAATAAGAGATAACAGTTATGTCTGGAAAATCCAAACTCTTGCCTCCAAAAGATTAATTCACTTTGAGATAGAAGCCTCACTCACTATGGGTCTGATCCTGAAAGAGACTTCAAGGGCTCATCTCCTGCCAGGGTGATGCCATGTGTTGGCTTAGTATAAAGTCTAAATTGCACAGATGAAATCAATGAACAAAACTGTGGGGCAGATCCTCAAATGTTGTAAAGCCATTGACTTCAATGGAGCTATGCTGATTTACACTAGAGGGGATCTGGCCATACATGTGGAGTTTCATCTTACTAGAAGAAGTTTGTACCACAGAAGATCACCACTGAAATATACAGTGGAGGCTATATACATTCCAAGAATTTTTACTCTGCCCTTGAAGGAAATAGGCTATTTCTCTTATTGCTTCATTTCTCTGGCATGTTCTCTTTTAGACTATACGTTTTCAAACAATATTTCTTTGTGAGTAATAATTTCTTTGTGTGTTTTTTTAATCAACGTAGTTTGGAAACCTTCAGCTTGGGAATTGTTTATGACTTCTAGGTAGCTTGAATGTAAATTATTTTTAAACTTATTTTTCCACTAAGGAAACATGAAAATGGTTAACAGTTTTAAAATAAATAGCTCAAGCCCTTCGATGTGAGGTTGGGGGTCTGAATCTTTGAGACATTTAATGTTATAAATTAGGAGAAAAAAAGAGGTCTGCTTCCCACAGAACTCATATCCTATTACTTACGAGGGTATTCAGTTT